CAAAAAAACCAACGAAAAAGCAAACGAAAACAAACCAAATCCAAACGCAAAACCAACCAAAAAACACAAATACAAACCCAAAGAAAAAAAACACAAACAAAAACGAAAAAAGAAAGAACAAAAACGAACCAAATCAAACCGCAACCACTAACGCAAACCCAACCTAAACACAAAGAAAACACTAACGCGAACATAAACGCAAAGTGCTCACAGTCTAGCCCGGGGCGGAATCGCCGGTTTTAGCTTAATAAACGACTATAGTACTCCAACTTATTCAGTCTTTTGCACTCACTTAAACGAACGCACCTGTTTCAATTTAATGAACAATTATAATACTCCAAGCTTATCCGTAAAATACCTACAACGTTTGCACTTGATCAATCCCCGCTAATTATGAAATTATTTTTTTTCCCAACACCAAAACAAAGTGATAAAAAGTAAATTCTTTTCCACTAATGCAATGGTTTTATAAAGGGAAGTAATTGTGTTTTCCTAATTTATCAAAGGGAAGTAAGTGCTATAGGACTAAATAAAGACATAATTAGAATTTTCGTAAAAGATGATATTTGTTTAAAACTTGTGTTTAATGAACATGCCGAAAATTATTACTTTCAGTTTGATAAATGAAAATTATTTCCCAAAACTTTCAATATTAATTTTTTAACTCATAAATTTATACCATAAAGACTTAAATCCATCGAAGTATGTCAACGACAAACTTATTACAAACATACAGAATTGAGCTTTAGGGCCTATATATTAGATACTTTACTATTTAAATAACTATAAAGAAAAGCGCGGGTCACTATGTTATTTACTAACATTTAGGAAGAGACCAACGCAGTGGAGTAACCAGGTCGGGTGTCACCCGGTACGTCACTTAATGGTGTCACCGACCCAGAGGCGTAGCGACCCTTTCCAGTGCCCGGGGACAAACTTTCGATTTGCACGCCACCCCCCCCCTCACCCTCAAACTATCGATTTGCACCCCCACCCCTCTCCACCCTTAACGGGATTTGTCAAATTTGCTCTTAAAACACTATTTAACGCTCGAAATAATCTCTTAATTAAGTGGAATTATCATTTTTCTCTATATATTTTGCTATTTTTTGCCTTTGTGTCACCCCCCCTAAATGGTGTCATCTGGTGCAGTCCGCACCCCCCCCCCCCCCTCGCTACACCACTGGACCCACGCTTTTCTATATAGGTATTTCAAATATTTCGTCTATAGCTCCCCCTCGTCAGTTAACTTAGTAAGAATTTCATTTTCATGAAGGTTGCAAATGAATCACAAATGAACCGTATTTAGTGAATTTATATGATTGTGTTAATATTAATATTAATATGATTGTTGTAATATTACTTTGTTTCTCCACTAAGCTACTACACGTTTTCTTCACGCATTCTTCATCTGATGACAGCTGAATCTGGCACTGGACAGATTTCTTGTTTACATAATTACTCACTCGCTGTTACAAAGTCCGCCATTCAAACATGGCTGACTGTTGCAGGGGTTTGTCCTCGTCTCACAGTGATTTCCCTCCCACCCTGCAGGACACCTGCACAGGTAGGTGTACTCTGTGGGGTGGGCGTAGCAGGTTCCTCCATTCAGGCAGGAGGTTGACAGGCAAGGGTTCTTCAACACAGAGCAGTTCTTTCCTGTGCGTACAAATTAAATAAGTGATTAACATTTACAACACGCACACCCCCCCCCCCCCCCCCCCCACACACATACTATATATATATATATATATATATATATATATATATATATATATATATATATATATATATATATATAAACTTTGTAAAATGGATCACCGTTGAAGAACTGCTTTGTCTGCAATTATTCACACAAAACAACTTAGATCAAGCACCCTTCATTCCCCCTTTCAATTATGGAACTATACTGATTCCAGCAAACGCACCTTTAAGCAGACCTTATCCATGCCCCTCAACCCCAAACTATTGATGTAGCGATAAAACTGAAGAAGACAAAATGCTATTTGTTTGCAATGAACAAATAGCGAAGAAAATCAATTAAAATAACACTTCACCTGTGTAGTTCTGTGGGCAGGTGCACATGTAGTCACCAGGTAGGTTAGTGCAGTTTCCCCTCAAACAGAACCCCAGGGTACACTCGTTTATGTCGTCACTACATGACGTGCCATTCCAGCCTACATATACGTCATTACGACATGAGAAAAAAAAATTCACCTTGTAATTTCATTTTCTCAATATGAGTTAATATAATTTGATAATTAAAATGACTAAATAAATACATTAATCTATATATAAATAGCTTAATGAATGTAAAAAATAACACTAAATGAATCAAAGAATGACTGTTTGGGTTTTATGTTTGCGATTATCTTTGTGTTTCCGTTGGCGTTATGTTTGCGTTTGCATTACTTAATGTGTTTGTGTTGCGATTATGTTTACGTTTATGTTTGTTTGCACTTATGTTCTTTTTATGTTTCCGTTTAATTTTGCGTTTACGTTTGCGTTTATGATTATACTAGGCATGCTGTCCAGCTTCGCTTAGGCTTTCGAAAACATTGAGAATTTGAATGCTTAATTAATTCGCCCATATAAGGTCAGTTTTGACCCCCTCATCGTAGACTTTTCGGCCAACCGGCCCCCGTGTTCTGTCGCCCCAAGGCAAGATCCTGCCAAATTTGAAGCGCCTGCGGCGCCGGGAAGTGCCCTATCGTGCACCCGACAACTTAGCTTTATAGATAATCTAGATCTAGAATCTCTAGATCTATATGATCTAGAATCTCTAGATCTATATGATCTAGAATCTCTAGATCTAGAATCCAAATAGATAAAATAATTTTTTTTAAGTTTAGGCCGAGAAAATCGTATTGTATACATTTCATAGCGTACATAGCTATAAATCATATTTGAATGAAATAGTTCATTTCTTTTTATTCTAAACTCAGAAGATGACGTCATCAGTTTCATGCTCTTTTTTTAGTGTAAACAATAAGCGACGTCATTGTTAAATGCGTTCTTGTCCCAAGTTTAAAGACTTTTCCGGTTGCATACATAATACTGTTTCTCTACATTCAAATACGCCTTTATTTTTTATTTTTCTTTTTTAATAAAATTGTGGTTATACATTTAAAACATCTAACATATTATTTTCAACAAAAGTCCGTATAAAGGTATCCATATATCGCTGCCGATTCTGACGTGATGTCCGGCGAAAATATTTTGCGGACAGACAGAGAGAGAGAGAGAGAGAGAGAGAGAGAGAGAGAGAGAGAGAGAGAGAGAGAGAGAGAGAGAGAGAGAGAGAGAGAGAGAGAGAGAGAGAGAAGAGCGCACATGGCCTTTTATATATTAGGATTAGTATTTACAGTTGCGTTTGTGTTTGTGTTTGCGTTTGTGTTTATATTTTCTCAAACGTCCATATTACATATAGAACTTTAATTGTTTAATAGTTTACAAATTCCCAAATCCCGAGGAGCGCAGGATATTTGCAGCTTAATTTGCACACAAGTAACGGCCCTTTACAGATTAGTATATATATATATATATATATATATATATATATATATATATATATATATATATATATATATATATATATATATATATATATCTAAGAGATTTGGAGAGGGGTCTAATGTAACTAATATATTGTTTATTTCCTTTTGTAAAAGGGTTCTGAAATCCGTTTAATAAACTTCAAATATTTGTTACACGAAAAGGAATAAACCAATGTTTCTAGTGCATTGATTGTATGGCATGTAGCCCCACACGCCCACCTTGCATGCAGATCTTCTTCCCTGTGCCGGCCTGACAGGTGTAGTGACCACTCGATGTGTTCTGGGGACTGCAGTTCACATTACACGAGGATGTGAAATAGCCCGGGTCACAGTAAAGGCGGATGTCAAAATCCATGCTGTAACAAAACGTTAGAGGTTTGTTGGTTGTTTCTTAAGGAGTAGTCTAAGTGGTGGTGGTGGTGGGAGTTCAGAGTTATGAACATGTTAAATTTTGGCGGAGCCAGGAGCTGCTTCGATTTTAACTTTGTATTAACGGAGACCTTGGCCCTTCTTTAACTACGCCCCGAACCTCTTTATATTAATTTTACCTAATGAATTATTAATTTAATTCACTTAGATATTGATTTTCAACACGGGGTTGACGTATCCTACCAGGATAATCCAGGATTAGGCTTGGGTAAACTTAGATTTCGTTAACGTCGATGCATGTTTAAAATTGAGAATAAACATGCAAGATATTGATGGCCTACTGAGTTATCACTGTTATTATTATCTGTAGCCAGCCTTAAGACTTACTAATATGTGCCGTCTCTTAAAACTTGTCTTGACCACTGAGCTTCGTTTCTCGAAGCGGCAACAGCAACCGGGATTGACGAATAAAAGACTACCATTAGGTCATCTGGGTTAGCTGGATCAGAGTCGTAAAGTTCCACCGCAATCATCACAGATAGCTCCTATTAAAATATTATACTGTCTTACTTCATTTTACCTTAGGTAGCGCTCTAAACGTTAGTTAGTAAAAAGTAGAAATGGGCACAAATCTATATAAAACAAATTATACATCTTTAAGTAAAACTTCGTAAATCATTAGCCAGATTATAACGATCCAAAAATTCTAATGTCGTCTAGTCTCAATTGCTTTATGAAATATATATTACAGAGAAGGTAGCTGTATTTATGATCCACGGGTTAGGAAGACCTCCAATGCTTGTCTGGTCCTTGAAGTAAATATAATTTGTGTCAACATAACTGGTACTTGTTAGTGTTTTTTCATAATTGCAGATGTAATCTTTGAAATACGTCCTGTGAGAAGGTTTATAAATAAATAAACATATATATATATATATATATATATATATATATATATATATATATATATATATATATATATATGCTCACGTTTTTGGGGTGTTCTTAGCTCAATTTTAATTTCAGATTAATTAACCGTTTTGCTTTTTTAAATTACCCGTCCCCGTCCCCCCTCGCCCCCTTTTCTCAATGGGGTAGACAAAACGAACACCTTGTCTAAAGAAATCCCAACATTCGTCCGGAATTTACAACCCGAGCTCCACTATACCACAATTTGTACTCCACTAATGAAGCTCGAACGGAACGGAACGTGTTGACTATTTAAACATCATTTGAAAAAATGCAAAAAAATATGCTTTAATGCAGTTATGCAATAAAAAAGAGGAAAATAAATGACTTACTTTAAATATATTATAATACTCTACTAATATAATAACTATAAAGAAAAGCTAACGCAATACTTTAACAGGATTTTGTTAGCATACTACCAATCGTAGTATAATGTTAAACGCGTGAGATGTTTTCTAGAACTGAGTTGTTTAGATGTGAACAAACCAGGCTCTACATTTCTCGGATCTAAGTTGTTGGGGCCCGAGTTTGTCCACATTGAGCCCAGATGTCCCAGGCCGTGCTGTATGGCGTGTGTCACCGTGTCCCTAATGTAGGGTGCTATTTAAAACTTACGTAGGCGCCGTAGTGCTCACAGGGGAGCCTTAGCAGCTCCGGGTCTTCCAACCTTCAGGGCGACGGCGGACGCGTCTGGTTCGAGTTAGCAGACGATAATAGTGTATTTTAGTGTATTACACCCTTTAAAAAGATCAAAGCTTTACGTTCTCTGAGTGTATCGCATTAGGAACATTGGGGTGGACCACGTGACTTACTGTGATGATTGTGGCCTGCCTAAACAGAAAGTGAACATAGGGTCACACGCACTACCGTAGTCAAGGTCGCAGTTGCTTGAATAACTCACAAACAAGACCTCGATCTGACCACTTCCTGCTGTTTCCTGTTGGAGTGCAGAACATATGTAGAGAAATAAGCACAATTTTCATTGGTGGCTATAATAGTCGGCTGTACCAAAACAAACATAGTTAGATAATATTTCCTGAAGTAATTTCATTAAAAAAATTTGCTTAAAATTTAAATCTCCATTTAATTCATTTATCAATGAGAGGTGACCACTTATGTAAGATATTAAGTAGTTTCGCTCCATTTTATCGCAAAAAGAGATGTGCTTGCATTGGATATCTACTGATAAAATGTAATAAATACTAAATTAATTTATAAAGGTTTAAAATACGTTTGTGAACACCATTTTTTCCCAAACAAACAATAATCTTTGTAGTTTTGGTAACCGTTTGTTTTAAATATATGAACAAGTTAAGCTTTAAAAAAAATTCAATGATCCACCAAGTTGTTTTTACAATTATTGTCTTCAGAATTTACCTTAGAGGCAACTAAATTGATATTAACATAGGTCTTTAACTTTGTACTGTATTTAGCGTTTAAATATAATTTTTGTCAGCTGGGATAAAATGTGAAATTACATTTACAAACAATCACAATTTTTTTCGAAATCTCCTGTACTGGAATATGCATGCATTTAAACTAAGAGAATACAGCTCTGCAAATGATGTTTGAAACAAATTGTTAATTTTATTTGTTTCATATTTTCTTTAAAAAAAGACTTTAGTAGAAAGCTACTTACGGGTACCAGGAAGAGCATCATCATCAGACTTGCAGCAGAGCACACGGCACTTTTGGTAACGTGAAGCATGGCGATGTTGTGGTTTTCTATTGTTATGTATGCTAAAATTATCGTATTCTATTAATATAAAGCATACAATAGTTGCGGTTTGGAAATGGGAAATGCTAAAATTGTAGTCTATAATCAAAAGAATACCAGAGTTGTTTTTTGGTAATGTAAATTATGCTAAAATTCAAAGATGGTAACGTATGGATACTATATTTAGTGTGGTACTTTGAGAACTTCCTACTAATCTACTCGTCAAAAAGTAATGTAAACCTGGAAATATCGCTATTATAAATGTCCCAATTGAAAAAAAAAGCAGTGCCGCTATCTTACGTCTGTTAGAGTCTGTCGCCCAAATGCAAATGCCGTCTTAAATTTAGTGCTGGGAATAAATATCTAGTTGATCAAAATTAACGCACCGTAGCCATCAGACCATGACCTCCCCACCCCCCACCCTCCACCAAGAAAATCAGACCATGACCTTACCATCCACCCCAACCCCCAGAATAAAGTATGAGTCATTCAGCTATAGCTTAGGACGTACAAATGAATGATTGATAATTCAAGTGAAAAATTTATGTGTGTGTGTGTGTATGGGGTAGGGGCTGGAGGTCATTAGCGATTTTTTAAAACAGCTATGCTCTGGCGTGGAAAAGTACCAACCAACACATACGCCAATTAGATGTTCCCAATCCCGAAATCATACTTTAGTTACCAAACTCAAGTAAGACGTCACCAACCCACACTCTAGTGAGACGTCACCAGCCCACACTCTAGTAAGACGTCAAAAAACCCACACTCCTGTAAGACGTCATCAACCCACACTCAAGTAAATCGTCACCAATCCACACTCGAGCAAAACGTCACCAACCCACACTTCTGTAAGACGTCATCAACCCACACTCAAGTAAAACGTCACCAACCCACACTCTAGTAAGACGTCACCAGCCCACACTCTAGTAAGACGTCACCAACCCAAACTCAAATAAGACGTCACCAACCCAAACTCAAGTAGGACGTCACCAACCCAAACTCAAATAAGACGTCACCAACCCACACTCCAGAAAGATTTCACCAACACAAACTCAAGTAAGACGTCACCTAATCTTTTTATTGTACTTGTTACCCCTTTAGGAATCTTGTCATTAACTTTTCAGTAGGTCAAGGTCGCAAGTAATTAACTAATTAATTAATTATTAATCAGCATTCAGAAACTGTAATTTTAAAAATTAAATTAAAAAACCCGTTTTGCATTTCCAAATGAATCGACGGTTTAAAACCCATGTAAGAATTTCAATTAAATTTGGCTGTTTGTATCATTGTATGACACTCGTGTGTTTGGCTAGCTGCCAAATCTGGACGTTTCATTATTTTTTTTCGAATTAAAAACATAAAGGAAGTTGTTTTTAATTTATTCTGGAGGTCGATATTTTGTGTGCCGAGTGAAAAAAAAAAAAAAGAATTGAAAGTTATCATTGAGTTAAATCAGATTCTGTTTTAAAATAGTATTTAATATTATTACGTTCTATAAATATAATTAAAAAGTTTAAACAAAACACAACCACAACACAACTACAACACAACTACAACACAACCACAACACAACCATAACACAACCACAACACAACCACAACACAACCACAGCAAAACCACAACACAACCACAACACAACACAACCGCAACACAACCACAACACAACCACAACACAACCATAACACAACCATAACACAACCACAACACAATCACAGCACAACCACAACACAACACAACCACAATACAACCACAACACAACCACAACAACAACCACAACCACAACACAACCACAACACAACCACAACACAACCACAACACAACCACAACACAACCTCAACACAACCACACACAACCACAACCACAACACTACCACAACACAACCGCAACACAACCACAGCATTAGAATCACCACCGAACAACACGCTTTCCTAGGCGTTGTTGTGTTTGTGTTGTGTTTTTGTTTGTTTTGCTCTGTTCCCAAGCTGGTACATTTTACAAAGATTCAAAGTGGCGGAGCACGGGTATGCAGCTAGTATATATATACATATATACATATATACATACATATATATATATATATATATATATATATATATATATATATATATATATATATATATATATATATATATATATATATATATATATATATATATATATATATATATATATATATATATATATATATAAATAAATAAATAAATAAATAAATAAATATATATATATATATATATATATATATATATATATATATATATATATATATATATATATATATATATATATATATATATATATATATATATATATATATATATATATATATATATATATATATATACATATATATATATATATAAATTTATATCTTCGATATGTTTTTTAATACGCACATTTGTTAAAATACTTCGTTTCATTAGATTTTTGAAATTATGTAACATATGTTGATGTTGTTACACTTGTTTCAATTGCAAATAAAAGCATGCAATAAAAAAAAATTTTTTTTAGAAAATTTTATAGGTCCCTCCAGGCTGGTACGACCTCGACAATTTCTAAAATGTACAAATTTGTTCACAATGGAAATCTGCTAATACCAAGCATAGGTTACTATGTTATGCGTCTCCTTGCGTATTTTCATCAGGAAGGGCCTAAATGTTGAAAAACTACAGCATTAGATTTCTTGCTAAAATTTTTTGGGCCAAATTATTTATAAAAATTTAAACTTTTGGCATCATATATTCACTTTCTTTTATGTTCTGTTTTTATAGCTCCTTGCTTATAACTACTATGGAAAAAAAAATTAAGTGTGTATATATAATATTTTTTTTTGGCAATTTTTTTCGTCAATTTTCCATTGTCTGGGTGATATTGCCCTCTTAATTAAATGTTGTAAAACAAGTATAATCAGTTGAGATATTTTTTTATGAGACATGTTTAGGCTAATTAGAAACAATTAGGCGTGCATTAGATGTAGAGTAGTGTCAGAAGAAATCAATTAGAGAGACTTCACAAAACTCCCATATACAAATGTCGATATTTAATGTGCATTGGAAATAATGAGATTAAATGTTAAAAAAATGTATAATGAATTTAAAAAATGTTACAGAGATACTATATGGTTTAGTACATGAAAATATATCATTGATTTAGTCTGTAAAAGATTAACTAAATTATAAAAGTTGTTGAATGTATTTAAAACTATTTGATTTAATAATACAAAAATCAGAATCTACTCAGTAACATTAATATTTTTTTAATGCATCAGTTTAACTTACTGGTGGGGAATTCAATTCATGGTTACATTTTATTGTAAGTAATACATGGCTGTTCATTAACAAAACTTGTATGATTTATATTCTTATATTCAAAGGTTTTTTAAAAAAAAATGTCAATTATGTTATTGATATGTATATATGTTTTTAAAATATAAAACTACATTACAAAGATACAAATATAAATAGCAAATTTTCAGATAGAACAACAACACCCCAGTGAAACGTATTATCATATTATGTACACATTGTAAATGTGAAAAGTTTTTGTGGAACAAATTGTTTGTCATTTGTAAGCGTGGAGAGGCAAGAAATTTCAGTGAGTCAAAGCGTTAGCAGCATCTCTATCAGGGAGTAGCATAGGCAAGATGTGGGGGTGTTAGGGCGCTTATCGCATTCTTTCTTCTGTACCCTCAAAATGTCTATGGGAAAACTTTTTGAATGCTCTGCTTCCATTATTTCCCCTCACAAAATTCTACAAATGCCACAGATACCAAGAGCTAATGAAGTGGTTGAAGAAAACAATTTTTCTGGTTCTTTGAAGATCTTGTTTTCTTGACCTGTTTTAAAAGCTTTGTCGTTTTTAGCTGAAAAATATTTATAAAAACGTATAAACATGTTATATTATTTTTTAATGAACAGACAACTAAAACATTGAAGCTAATTTTATTTGATTTACATAATGAAGAGAAAAATTGATACATCTATACTAATAGTTTCGCTATCTGTGTATGTATCTATCTATCTATTTATCTATCTGACAAGAACGCTATCGAGAAAACACAAGTAAAATAAAAACTTTCATAGTAAAACGAAAACGAAACATGACGTCACATTGAGTATATAGTAGAAAATAGTATCAAGCCGGAGAGTGCACACAGTAATATGACGTCATTGATTTTCGAGAAATCATTGAATTAAAAAGACAATGTTGTCTAATCTTTTTCCCAACCTAAGACAGGTACCCATCTTAGCTGGGTGGACTCAGTGACGTCCTAAAGTCATAAGAACGAACCTGGATCCAAACACGATACGTTCGAGCTAGCAGCCAAACGCTCTACCAAACGCTTCTACCATTGGAATTACGTCAAATAGAAAAAAGTGTGTTATTTCTTTGTTAGAAATGTATTATAAAGCCTAATATTAAATCAACTAATTTAAAGTCATGTGTACCGTTGTATTAATTTAATCAGTATGACAATGTAGAGGTAAAATAATTAAAATCAGTGTACACACGTCACTATATTTTATACCCCAACCAACCCTATTTAGCACAATATACCATGCTGATTGAAAACACATCACACTGTATCATTTTTAGTTTTACCTAACAGAGAGAAAAACTCACGTATTTTTAGCTTTGATGCCCTCGCTGCCTATGTCGGCACTTAACTGTGCTCCACACGATTCCACGAGAAAAATTTCTGGTCTAGACGCTGAATCATTCTGCACAACACAAAAAAACAACAACACATTGTTAATTAATTAACAAAGAACATTGTTAATTAATTATATCATTGAATTTGAGGTTAACATTTAAATCCGGTGAATATCCAGTTGGATGACATTAATGCAGTGGTTCTTAACCTGGGTTCGATCGAACCCTAAGGGTTCGGTAAGTCAGTGTCAGGGGTTCGGGGGAGGTCAAGACACACACCCGACTCTTGTGATTCACGATCGGGTTTTCTCAGTGCGGACGATAGAACTATTATAAAGGGTTTATTGGATACGCTTATGAAAATGTTCGGTACATTCAAAATGGTTAGAACCACTGCTTTAGTGTTTATGTATTGTAACTAACTTTGTTCCGTTTCTTGTAATTTTCGTTTAATCGTATCTTCAAACACAATGTATTGGTACTTAGGTAGTTTGTTATGTATATGATACTTTTTTTTATTAATCATTACTGAATAACTGAATAAATAGTACATAGATAGGCTTGGTTTCTTTGTATGTTGCCATTTTCGTATAATAGATAAATGTAACGGACATTATTTTTTCTTTTTTTGTGTGCCTCAGACATGTAATTAATTAATTAACAGCATTAGTTTGTCTTGCCATATTCGCTTTAGTATTATAATTTTCAAAATCTGCTTGTGGGTCTGATACATATTTTAAAATAGCGACAATTCTTTCTGACAAGTAATTTCATTAATTGAAAATCGTATACTTATACATAATGCAAATGTTACGTCCAGGTTAGTTTCAGATAAACAAGCCCTCGTCCTACCCACTATCCACTAACCGCTGCCCTCCCACAATCGTTCACTAGCCCTTTTATACCCGCATTCGACCTTGGGATAACAATACATAAACACACCGGGGTTACTACACAGGAGGGTGAACTCAACTCACACACGCACTCTCCCCTAAGTTCGAGACTATTCTAACCTATTTTAATCTGACTTCACAATGATCCGTAACAGCAAACCACCTAGTTTCAGTTATCTTTTAAATATGAAAATCTCTAAGTATTAATTTATTTTTATCTTTAAATTGTGTTTGTCTGGAATAATATTTTTTTTCTCTCATACTGACTGATTTACTCAACGCGAGCAAAAAAAAAAACCCCACATTACAAGCAGGTTTACTTTATAATTATACAATTAAAAGCGTTGTAACATTCATAATTTTTTTCTAGTCCGTTCAGTTTTAGTGTTTTATTCGTTTTGTTTTAAAGACTTCATTTTTATTAAACTTTAATTTTCTTTTATGATCAGTTACATCAACATATAGATCTAGAATCTAGATCTATATATATATTTTTTTTTCTCTCTTTTTTTCTTTTTTTTTCGCCTCAGACACGTAATTTATAGCGTCAGTTGTGTGTTCGCTTTAGTATTACAGTTTTCATCATCGGCTTGTGAGGACTGATACAGATTTACAATAGCAGGGGTCGCCAACCTTTTGAGACGGAAGAGCCAAAAGTAACAATTTACAAAATTGTCCAGGTTTTAAAGAGCCACAAACATTTTTATTTCAATGTTTGGTATTTGATTAGGATTAGGTAAATAAGTTTATTTTTTTAATTTAAAATAAATAGCTATAAATATGAAATAATATTTATTCATATAAAAACATACAAATGTTTCGCACAAAACATATTAAATTATTTTAGCTAGCTCTGCTATGATAAACTTAGTTATCAAATAATATAATTATAGGACTATCCCAATCCACTTTTGAAGCTCTTAACTTTTTTTTTTCTTTACTGACATCACCGGCTCAGGATGTGTCTCCCATTAGACAGGCTGGCCTCAAAACGGCAAACTCCGACTAACTTGCTTGAATATCGGTTTGATTACCGTGAATCGGTCGCTTCTGTCCTTTGGTTCTCACCAGGCTTATCTTCCACCCCACATAGCCTAAGGGTAAACTCGTACCCCACAGTCCAGTACTTAGCTCAACCGTAGGAAGCTAACAACTAAAAAACTACGTCACTCATGTCATAATAACGATTACTGACAGATAGGGAAATGCATCCTGAATAAAATAACATTCCCCACTTAAAGATATTCGAAAAAGTCGGCACTCGGGAAGTGGCAAGCATTGTACGGGTGTAGGGCTGGGCTTGGTGCCCAAGCTGCTGTCAGCTGTCCGAATACTCTCTACTCCCACTTATTCTCATTGTTCGCTGATTAGTAGTCTTATAATGTTGAAAGTTGTGTTTCTTTACAGTACATAATTTGTTATGGGTTTTGAAAATAAAATGATACAATAATATCTAATATTTGTGCATGAAACACGAGAGCCGCCACTTGACATCAAAAGAGCCGCATGCGGCTCGCGAGCCGCAGGTTGCCGTAGTTACCAATATATTGGAACAGAAGTAATTACCGTAATTGAGATTTTTGCTTTGTGTTTTAAATGTTGGTTCCACTATAATACATATTTAAAACAGATCAAATAAACTCACCCGAACAAACTGCTTAGATCTGTGAACATTTTAAAATTTTTAAATAAACAAAATAAAATATTTGATGACAGGCGTTCTACTCAAATAAAAACTGTATATACAATTATTTAAAAAAAATACATATTTATTACACTTACCTCCCTTTGATGATATGTACAAGGGAAACCACCAGGACAACAACAATAAGTCCACCACCTGCAGCTATAGCAGCAATTGCCCATGTTGGTAAAACCATTGGCTTCTTAAGTGAGGGTAGACAACACATTTAAGAATTAATTAGAGGAATCTAAACCTATTTTTATTTAAAACAATAATTAGTTCTATGTACCGTGGGTTCTTGCTGGTTTGGCACTGAGGAGCTGTTGTCTGTAAGATAAACGAAAAAAAAACCCATATATATATATATATATATATATATATATATATATATATATATATATATATATATATATATATATATATATATATATATATCTACTAGCGTACCCGACCACCGCGCGTTTCCGCGGGACACCAAAATCGACTTATTTTTATAAACCGTATAAAGAGAAAAGTAATCGCACCCTCCCGTGGCGCCGCCCTGCGAAATTAAAAATGAATTTTTTACAGAACCCCTCCCTTGAGTTTTATAATGAACTCCCCAAAGTCTTATGGCTATCGGATGAACGATGCCAAACCAAAATCGACTTTTATTTTATATACCGAATATAGAAAAAAAACAAATCGCGTCGTGTCGGGGCACCACCCCCGCGAATTTGAAATATTTTTTTTTCGCAGAAACCTCCCCATGAATATTCTCAACAACTTCCTTAAATTTCATGGCGATCGTGTGAACGGTATAACGGCAATTCACTTTTATTATTTTTATATACCGTATATTGAGAAAAATCGCACCCTTCCGTGGTGCCGCCCTTGCAAAATTAAAAATGATTTTTTTTTTACAGAACCCTTCCCTAGAGTGTTATAATGAACTCCCCAAAGTCTCATGGCTATCGGATGAACAGTGTGAAATCAAAATAGACTTTTATTTTTATATACCGTATATAGAGAAAAACAAATCGCGCCCTGCCGGGGCGCCACCCCTGCGAATTTGAATCTTTTTTTCTTCGCAGAAACCTCCCCATGTCCGGGAAAAATCGGGAAATGGGTCCAAACTGACCAGTCGTATTTCCCTATATAATCTTTGTATTTTATGGGGAAAACAGAGGGTCATTTCAAAACGAATTTAAGGGCACTTACCCTATTTACATCTGGCTAAGTTTTGGCATGCTTATAGGTAAATGGCTTGGCCGTAGGGCAGACCTATCGGTTTTACTCAAAGCCCTCGACGAGGGCTAAAAAGTGACCGCCAGTGAAATTTTCTTTATATGAGCTCTATTACGAAAAAAAATTTCCTCCGACGACCCCCCTTGATATTTTGTGAGGTGGTAGGAGAACGCCTTGGGGTGTCACAAAAAACTCGCCATGTCCGGGAAAAATCGGGAAATGTGTCAAAATTGAACAGTCGTATTTCCCTATATAATCTTTGTATTTTATGGGGAAAACAGGGTAATTTCTACACAAATTTTATGGCACTAACTCTTTGCATAACTGGCTAATTTTTTGCATACACCTCTATAGATGACTGTGCCGTATGGAAAAACTGTTGGTCAGCATAAAAATGGTCAGCTAAAAATGACTGCGATTGAAATTCTCATTATACGAGATTTGGTCATTTGGTCTATGAACAGGGGCGGTAACTTTTTAATGTAACAATTTTTTAATATTTTGTATACTCTTTTTAAGAAAAAACAAAAATCATAATGTATAGCATTGTTGTAAATGGATATTTTTGTTATAAATTAAGTTTTGTATTGTATTGAAATTGTAAAATTAATTGCAAAAGTAATTTAATATTATATTTGATTAATAATTTTTATGAAAGCCCTTTCAGTTCTAATAACCTTGCGAGTAATAAGTTTGCGAATATTCCATCAATTTATGGGCACAATAAAAGTACCCCACTGTATAAATTTAGGCCCTAAGCATTTAACATAACAGCCAATCACCTATTAATTAATAATTCAATGTCTCAACCTTTTTGAAAACCTAAGCGAAGCTAGGCAGTATGCCTAGTATATATATATATATATATATATATATATATATATATATATATATATATATATATATATATATATATATATATATATATATATATATATATATATAAAGCAATGTATGTGTGTGTGTGTGTGTGTGTGTGTGTGTCCTTTATGCATTACTACACCTCTCATCACATCGCCGTGAAACTTTGGGAAGCTGTTGAGAATATTCCTGGGGAGGTTTCTGTGAAAAAAAAAATTCAAATTCGCAGGGGTGGCGCCCCGGCAGGGCGCGATTTGTTTTTTTTTCTATATACGGTATATTAAAAAAAAAGTCGATTTTGGTTTGGCATCGTTCATCCGATAGCCATGAGACTTTGGGGAGTTCATTATACCACTCTAGGGAAGGGTTCTGTAAAAAATAATTTTTAATTTCGCGAGGGCGGCGCCAAGGGAGGGTCCGATATTTCTGTATTTACGGTATATAAAAATAATAAAAGTGAATTGCAGTGACACCGTTTATCCGATAGGCATGAAACTTTGGGGAGTTCATTATAAAACTCTAGGGAAGGGTTCTGTAAAAAATATTTTTCATTTCGCAAGGGCGGCGCCACGGGAGGGTGCGATTTTTCTCTATATACGGTTTATAAAAATAAGTCGATTTTGGTGTGACACCGTTATCCGATAGCCATGAGACTTTTGGGGAGTTGATTAGAAAAATTCAGGGAAGGGTTCTGTAAAAAAAAAAAAAATCCTTTTTTAATTTCGCAAGGGCGGCGCCACGGGCGGCTGCGATTTTTCTCTATATTTCGGTTTCACACCGTTCATCCGTGTACCATGAAACTTTGGGGAGATGATTAGATCACTCAATGGTAGGGTTCTGCAAAAAAAATATTGTTTAATATTGCAAGGGCGGCGCCCCCCCCCTGCAGGGGGGGGGGAGCGATTTATTTTCTCTTTACACGGTATATAAAAAATAAAACTCGGATGCGGTTCATCCGAGTGCCATGAAACTTTAGGGAGTAGATGAGAATACTCCCGAGAATATTACTGCGAAAAAGAAAACTAAAGTTTCTTACGGGCGGCGCCATATAGGGTACAACTTTCGTCAATACATGGTTTGGCGCCCAGAGTTTTAGAGCGACTAAGTTGGCACTTGGAACCGGTTAATCGAGCGTCCTGCATAGCGAGTAAGGGGTACTACTATATTCAGCGGTAAAACTACAACAGGCTTCTAAGAATAACTTTGTAACGAGAGGAAATCCTTCTGTACAGTTTCGTCACCTTGCGAAAGATGAAAAAATAACTTTTTGAATATGAGGAGCCTACTGTAGAGTTTTTTTGACTTTGCGAATGATGCAATAAGCATCTATTATTAGACGATCCAGTCAGAAATTGAGATCGAGCATCTAATAATAGACCATTAGTAACGCTAGCATATTACATCAGTCACACTGATATTTAAAACACGTCAAATAATTTTTTTACGTGTTAAAGAAAAAAAATCCTGTTCATTTGTGTCACTTTAGCGAATGACGAAATCTGCATCATTGTTTACAGGATGCTATTTGGCACGCTGGGTTATCCTATGAGCACGATGGCGCCTGTTAGTTTTAAGGAGCCAGGGGCCGTACGCTGCGCCTATGGGTAGTGTAATCGGGGGGTGGGGGGGGGGCTCCTGAGAGCGCCCCTCTACGTCCCTGACACATGGGTGGTCACCGAAGTGTGTTCTACCTCATTATTTCGGTGAGTGATTAATGTACACTCAAGGTTTTCACGCGGTAGTGTAGGAAAACCCGTGTCCCGATAATTATTATCCAAGCGCAGGCATTGTTTACATTTAAATAACATAGTTTTAGAAAAGAAAAACACGCCTCTAAGAACATATGATTGGTAATGCATTGGTGATATCCATCTAATATATTTCGTCAGACTTTCTTCTATCCCCGCGGCAAAGCGCGGGGGGCGGGTACGCTAGTATATATATATATATATATATATATATATATATATATATATATATATATATATATATATATATATATATATATATATATATATATATATATATATATATATATATATATATACATGAGCTCCTCCTTGTTGTTTTTTTAAACGTCGATTTATTTCAAATGAAAAAAGTTTGTTTCCCCCATGAAATCCGATTAGGAGAAATACTTGCCTATGTTTATTCCCACTGTAGACGTACTGTAGCTGCCATTTGTTGTGGGTGTGACTGTCTGATTAAGCACGTGTTCACAGCTAGCGCCACCATGTTGCCCCACACACGTGCAGGTAAAATTATCTCCGTTAACTGAGCTGATTGAGGAAAAATATTTTATACTTGAGAAACAGGAAGCGTAAAATTTTTTCATAAAAAACGTTTTAATAACAAGATTATATGTACTAATGCACACAAAAGGAGAAAAATATATAATAATACTCGACTATTTAAATAACTATAAAGAAAAGCGCCAGAGGCGTAGCAACCCTTCCCTGCGCCCGGGGAGACAAACTTTCGATTTGCCAACCCCCCTCCACCCTCAACGGGATTTGTCACACTATTTAACACTCGAATTAAGTGACTTATTTAAGTGGAATTATCATTTTTTTTTCTGTATATATTTTGCTTTTTTTGCCTTATGGCCCCCCCCCCCCCCGCTGAATGGTGTCACCCGGCACCCCCCGCCCTACCCCTCGCTACGCCACTGGACCCATGCTTTTCTATATAGGTATTTCAAATATTTTATCGACAGTTAACAAAGTGAGAATTTCATTTTCATGAAGGTTGCAAATGAATAACAAATGAACCGTATTTAGTGAATTTACATGAGTGCGTTAATACTACTTTTTTCTCCACTAGCCTGCTATACGTTTTCTTCATGCATTCTTAATATGAAGACAGCTGAATCCGGCACTGGACGGATTTCTTGTTTACATAATAAAACAACTCACTCGCCCAAAATATATTAATACAAATCCAACTCATTTGTTTGATTCGTATACTTCCAAGTTTCTAGTTTTTAATTGACCAAACTCACTCGCTGTTACAAAGTCCGCCATTCAAACATGGCTGACTGTTGCAGGGATTTGTCCTCGTCTCACAGTGATTTCCCTCCCACCCTGCAGGACACCTGCACCGGTAGGTGTACTCTGTGGGGTGAGCGTAGCAGGTTCCTCCATTCAGGCAGGAAGTTGACAGGCATGGGTTCTTCAACACAGAGCAGTTCTTTCCTGTGCGTACAAATTAAGTAAGCGAATAAAATTTCCAACAATTATTATATACGAGCCGACCCGCGGTGTATCATACGCCGCTATTTAGTTGTTTTTTCGACTTTTCAGTAATTCATAATTTGTGAATTCGACAGTACCAATGCTGCCACTGAAAATAATTGCTTTAAAACACTAAACCCCCATTCCCCCCCCCCCCCCCCCCGTGAAAGCAGCCTCCTCTTAGATACCTCCTCTAAGTTTAAAATAGTTTAAAACTGAATTATCTGCCCCTAATAGCCGTCACCAAACTAAACATTTAGCGTGAACTACAACTCACCTGACCATGTGAGGGGGGGGGGGGGGGGGGGGGGTGGGGGGGGTGGGGGGTGGGGGGTGGGGGGTGGTAGCGATAGAGAGGAAGAGAGGGGACTGCAAGGCGCGCGCTTGCAGCTTGTTTTCTAACGGCTCTCAGAAGAGAATTATATATATATATATATATATATATATATATATATATATATATATATATATATATATATATATATATATATATATATATATATATATATATATATATATATATATATATACGTGCGGCGTCAATTCGGCCAATGACGAAACGGCCCCGTCAAAACGACCCCGACAAAACGACCCCGTCAAAACGACCCCGTCAAATCGGCCCCGTCAAAAGGGCCAGCGACATATGGACCCCGTCATATAGGCTCCCGACAAATAGGCTCCCGTCATTTAGGCTACCGACAAATAGGCTCCCGTTATATAGGCTCCCGACAAAAGGGCTCCAGTCAATAAGGCTCCTGACAAATAGGCTCCCGTCATTTTGGCTCCCGACATATAGTCTCCCGTCATTTAGTTTTTTCCATAAAACGGCCCCGTCATTACGACTCCCGACAAATAGGCTCCCGCCATTTAGTTTCTCCACAAAACGGCCCCCGTCATTACGACTCCCGACAAATAGGCTAGCGTCATTTTGGCTCCCGACAAAAAGGCTCCTGTCAATTTGGCTCCAGACAAAAGGACCACTGACACAGTGGCGTAGCTGCCGTAAAGCTAGCGTAAGCAAGGCATGGGGGCCCAAGGCACATAGGGGCCCTTTTCCCTCATAAAAAATTAAAACTTTTACAATGGAATTGTAATATTTGTTACATTTAAATAATTTTAAAAAAGAAAAAGGTTAAAAGTTCCAAAAAGCCCCCCCCCCCCCCCCCCCACCGTTTCGGCAGTGGGATTCAGTGTTTGTGGGTCAAACAGAGCCCAATCGTTATAATAACACTACAGGCTATATCACTTTGTCGTGCAAGACATTGAGAGAATCAGCCTATAAATAAACTTTTTAGCAGTAGTAGGCAAGCATAATAATATAGTATAAATACAAAATCAGGACATATAAAATACAAAATGTTGCCTTCAGAATATTTATATATTAAAAAATATCCATCGTAAGTAGAAGTTGATATCTTCGTTTAACTCCTCTGTAGCCTAACGCAGAGGCGTAGCGAAGGCGAGGCGGGGGGTGCGGACCGCAACGGGTGACACCATTTAGAGGGGGTGACACCAAAGGCAAAAAATTGTAAAATTTATAGAATGAAATGCCATTTTCCAGATCCATTAGTTAAAGTTAAATAGTCTTCTAAGTACAAATCGAAAATTATATCAAGAGGGGGGGGGGGTGTGACACCACGACGTAAACGTAAACTATAAAGAAAACAATGCTACATCCAACTGTATTATAAACAGACTGTAGATAAACATCGTTACTATTAAGTCAGCAGTGATTAAAGCTTAAACACGTACGTGTACCAGTATGTGGCATATATATAAATTTTAGGCCTATGTAGGCCGACACACACACACACACACACACACACACACACACACACATATATATATATATATATATATATATATATATATATATATATATATATATATATATATATATATATATATATATATATATATATATGCTTTGTTTCCTGGGAGGGGGTGACAATACGAGGTGCCGCACCGGGTGAGACCCGACCTAGCGACGCCACTGGCCTAACGGCTGACGAAGGGGCCCACTGATAATTTTTGCATAGGTGCCCAAAAATCCTAGCTACGCCACTGCACTGACAATACCGTTTCTGTAGAGACTAAGTCTCCCGGCAAAGCGGTCTCATTGAATATGACATCTGCCAGTGGGACCCCTTCATCAATATTTTTTAGAGTTAGCTTATCCAACACTCTTATGTAATACAACGTATGCATCTCTTGTTCGGCAGGCCTTATTTTTATATTAGTTTATCTATTATAAAATATAGTATGTTTTAATTTAAAGGTCATCTATCTATGACATCCATAATTGAGTCGGTTATAGGCTGTTCCAACTCATTGTGTGGGGAGAAGGGTCCACGCTGTACCTTCCTAACTGCAATATGCTTGTACAGGGGCGTAGCGAGGGGGGGGGGGGGGGCGGGGGGTGCGGACCGCACCGGGTGACACCATTTAGGGGGGTGACACCAAGGCAAAAAATAGCAAAATATATAGAGAAAAAGTTGAGGGGGTGGGGGTGCAAATCGAAAGTTTGGGGGGGGGGGGGGTGCAAATCGAAAACTTGAAAGTTTGTCCCCGGGAAGGGTCGCAACACCTCTGGGGGGGGGGGGGGGGTGACACCATTAAGTGCCGCACCGGGTGACACCCGACCTCGCTACGCCACTGTGCTTGTAGGTTATCAAAACAAAATGCTGTTATGTTAACATTATGTATATCATACATTTACACTTCTGTGCTCGCTTTTAAGCAACAGGTCTTTTCTGTTGTAAATTAAACATTATCAAAACTTTAGAATTGGTGGAATTTAGCTGTTAAGGGCTCGATTTGTTTGTGAATTAATGTTGGTTCATGAAAAAATAATTTCATTCGGGCATTAAAAAGAGGTTATGGTGGTATTGGAGGTAGGACACAATGGTTACTTTTATGCCTATAGTGGTCATATCATTCATTTTTCTGGAGCCAATATGTCGGGAGTCATTTTGTCAAAAGCCAATATGTCGGGAGCCCAATTGCCGGGAGCCAATATGTCGGGAGCCCATTTGTCGGTAGCCAAAATGTCGTGAGCCCATTTGCCGGGAGCCCATTTGTCTTGAGCCCTTATGTCGGGAGCCAATATGACGGGAGCCGCTTTGTCGGGAGCCAATATGTCCTGAGCCTATTTGTCAGGGGTTAATATGTCGGGAGTCCATTTGTCGGGAGCCTAAATATCGGGAGCCCATTTGTCGGGAGCCTATATGTCGCAAGTCAATATGACGGGAGCCCATTTGACGGGAGCCAATAAGTCGGGGCCCTTTTGACGGGGCTATTTTGACGGGGTCGGTTTGTCGGGAGTCGATTTGACGGGGTCGTATTAACGGGGCCGTTTTGATGGGGCCGATTTGTCCCGGGCCGTTTTGACAGGGCACCATATATATATATATATATATATATATATATATATATATATATATATATATATATATATATATATATATATATATATATATATATAAAACTTTGTAACATGGATCACCATTAAAGAACTGCTTTGTCTACAATTATTCAAATACTGATTCCAGCAAACGCCCCTTTAAGCAGACCCTGACCACGCCCCTCAACCCCAAACTATTGATGTAAAGAAGACAAACTATTATTTGTTTGCAATGAACAAATAGCGAAGAAAATCAATTAAAATAACACTTCACCTGTGTAGTTTTGTGGGCAGGTGCACATGTAGTCACCAGGTAGATTAGTGCAGTTTCCCCTCAAACAGAACCCCAGGGTACACTCGTTTATATCGTCACTACACGACGTGCCATTCCAGCCTACACATAAGTCATTACGACAAGAGAAAAAAATTCTCCTTGTAATTTTATTTGTTCATTAAAAAAAAAACCAATATGAGTTAATGTAATTTGATAATTATAATGACTATGTAAATACGTTAATCTATATATACATAACTTAATGTTTGTAAAAATAACAATGAATCAAAGAATGACTGTTCGCGTTTATGTTTGCGTTTATGTTTGCGTTTGCATTACTTTTTGCGTTTGTGTTGCGATTATGTTTGCGTGTATATTTATGTTTGCATTTATGTCCTTCTTTATGTTTCCGTTTAATTTTGCGTTTATGTGTGCGCTTATGTTTGCGTTTATGTTCGTATTTATGATTTCGTTTGTGTTTGCGTTTGTGTTTATATGTTCTCAAACGTTATATGGCATGTAACCCCACACGCCCACCTTGCATGCAGATCTTCTTCCCTGTGCCGGTCTGACAGGTGTAGTGACCACTCGATGTGTTCTGGGGACTGCAGTTCACGTTACACAAGGATGTGAAATAGCCCGGGTCACAGTAAAGGCGGATGTCAAAATCCATGCTGTAACAAAAAGTTAGAGGTTTGTTGGTTGTTTCTTAAGGAGTAGTCTAAGTTGTGGTGGTGAGACGTGTAGAGTTCAGAGTTATGTAAAAGTCATATTTTGGTGGAGCTGGGGGCTGTGTACAGGTTACATTTTGGTTGTTGGGAGCTTTGCACAGGTCATATTTTTGTGGAAATGTGTACATGACGTATTTTGTTGGAGCTTGGAGCTGTATACAGGTCATATTTTGGTGACGTTCTGAGCTATTTACCAAATGAATTACTAATTTAATTCTCTTAGAAATAGATTTCTAACACAGAGATGACGTATCCCACAAGGATAATCCAGGATTAGGCTTGGGTAAACTTAGATTTCGTTAACGTCGATGCATGTTTAAAATTGAGAATAAACATACAAGATATTGATGGCCTACTTAGTTATCACTATTATTATTATCTGTAGCCAGCCTTAAGACTTACTAATATGTGCCGTCTCTTAAAACTTGTCTTGACCACTGAGCTTCGTTTCTCGAAGCGGCAACAGCTACCGGGAATGACGAATAAAAGACTACCATTAAGTCATCTGCGTTAGCTGGATCAGAGTCGTAAATTTCCACCGCAATCATCACAGAAAGCTCCTTTT